ATCTATAGATATTTTATTCTTTTTACTAAAACAGGGGGCTATTAATTTTTTTACTAGTTTGAGAGATGTGATGGCTGGTATCACATAACAGTGTACAGGCAAAAGGAACAGGACAGAGAAGGGGGGGGGGCGGGGCTGTTATGCATGTGAGAAAGAGAAAAATGTTTGCTACCTACTAAAAAACAAAGTTACATCATTTTCTTTCATGTACGGTTTTAAGCTTCAAGTCCCAATGGGTCAGAGCTACTGTACCAACAGAGATAGGGCCATTGGATAACCCATCTTCATAAATTTTACTCTGTAATATTTTCACCATAGCTTGAGGGTCTGTAGTCTAGTTCATGCTGACAAGTGTTTGTGTGGTTGCAGTTCTTATCAATGAGACTTGCCGCTGTCAACCCAAGAATCGATTTTAATCTTGATGCTCTCTTCGCTGTCGAAGTATGACTTTACCCTTGTTCTTAATGCTCCATGCATAGTGTGTTTATTCATCTCCGGATGTTGATGAGTGCTCTGAAATTGCAAGGTTATTGTGGGGATATATCGCGGCCTAGGTCTGTTCTTAAGGGGGGTATATTTTAGGGAGGAATTTACTTAAATAGCACTAAAACATATTGACTTTCCCTAAATAGCACTACATATGTTTTTCTTCTCAATGTAGCACTTTTAGTCATTATGCATTAGTCATTATTTAAGTAAATATTTGTCATCACTGGACATTATGGACATTATTAAGTGCTATTTAGAGAATAAAATAGTTTAAGTGCTATTTAGGGAAATGACTTAAGTTTTAGTGCTATTTAGTGCAAATATTTCATATTTTAGGTAGATCAGGGGGGAGGCCTAGAGCCTGGGGGATCCTCAGCAGATTCTTAGATTACTGGTTTTAATTAATGGCAATCTATTTCATGAATTTAGGGTGTGAACTAAATCCTATGCCACTGACTGGCCCAATATAGTGACACTATTTGATCTGTAGCTGTCCCTGCCTGAGAGTTGAAAATGACATTTTTAAACAATCAAAATGGCAGAGCAGGGATCTGAATTTGTGTGGACCTATTAGGGTCTGCCTGTGATCATTTACACCTTGACCAATCAGCATCATTCATTATACAAGGACATCTCATAATCTTGTCCCCCCTAGGGGGTTGCATCAGCCCACCCCTAGTTGCATCTGTCAGACTCTGAATCTCAAAGTTAATAATTTCTGTCTTGTGTTTGGGGAATTGCAGAGTGACTCCCAAACTTTGGAAAATAACTTCACTGGCACCATGATAATGCCGCCCTCAATGTGGGTTGAAGAACAAGAAGAAGAAGAAGAAGAAGGGCAAGGTAATAAAAACTGTCAGCAGCAGCTGTGGCACCAGCATTGTGATGAATTTCATCAATCCATGTGGACTAGGGAAGACAATTGTAGCTTCATTCCACCTGAGACCTCACCATTAAGTTACGATGAACCCACCGCTAATTCTGGTGAGTTTCCTATGCTTGAAAATCCACTAAAAATGGAGTTATGAGAGCAAAAGCAAAGCGTTTTGCAGTACCTAGCTAGGCAGGCGTGTACATATATGAAAATACTCATAGCGGTAGATAGCGGCTGGGTTTCTGCGTTTCCTAGTTAAACAGAGAGCTGAACACTGGCGGTAATATCGGTGGCAGAGCGGTGGAGCTTAAGTTTATGATCTCTGTTGCACTAAACTTTGAATGAAGTATACTAATGTACGTAGAAGAGCGGAACTGCCACTGTACCTGTGTTATATTTCGCTTGTTTTGTATGGTTCATTCACAAACAAAACTGAGACTATCATTTTATTATTATATTTATCAAAATGGTTCTCTTGACCTTAGAACCTCGGGTCATATTATGACCCGGGGCCCAAATAATTATTGTAGTCAATCAGCGAAATGGGGGAGGGGAGGGGGGGGGGGGG